AGCGGGCGAGGGGCGCCGCTCAACGCGGAGCCTCTGTCACCCCACCCGGGAGAGTTGAGCCTCTCCAGCTGTGTGTGCTGGGCCAGGCAGGCTGATTGACTGACCTGGCAAACCCACGCTTTGAAGTAAGATTCAAGGACGACAGCTTTCTATATCTGCCGCTCACCGTGGGCCAGTCACACACATTCTTACCGAATCTTACTTTTTAAACGACAAGGCAGGAGGATTGTTGTGAGTTCGAGACCAGCCTGGGCTACATAGTGAATTCCAGGTCAGTCTCAAATACATAGTGAGACCCTGTCTCAAAAAACAACAACAACAAAAACCAAACAACAACAACAACAAAAAACTCCAAAAAACAAAACAAAACAAACCAAAAAACCCAACGAGGAACCAGAAAGTTTTAACAAACTTGCCCATTGACCCAATGACAGAAGGTAGCATCCCCGCTATTGCCGTGGTAGTCATTAAGCTTCTATTATGAATTTGGCTTGTCCTTATCAAACCCTGCCTTCAAGGATAAGTCTCCAAATCCTCATGATATTCTGGTTTTCACTTAAGAAGACCCTTTTATGATTGTGAAGTAGTGTATTTGACTACATTGAGAAATACTTAGTTTGCTTTATTTATGGGTTTTTAAAAATGATATACAGGCCAAGTGAAGTGGTGCATGCCTGTAATCCCAGCATTCAGGAGGCTGAGACAGGAAGATCGCCAAGAGTTTAAGGCTAGCCTGAACTACACAGCAAGATCCTGTCTCAAAAAAAAAAAAATTTTTTTTTCAATTTCCTTTTTTTCAGAGGGGAAAAAAAGAAGAGAAAGGAACGTTAAAGGGGAATGGGCAGGGGAGAAGAGAGGAAGAGAAAAGGTAATTAAGGAAAAGGGAAAAGGCCGAGGATTTAGCTCTGTGGCAGTGCGCCTAGCAAGCACAAGGTCCTGAGTTTGATCCCCGGTACCAAAGAGAAGAAAAAAGAAAAGGAAAGAAAAAATACATCACACTCATCAAAGGTAACTTTAGGCGTGGCCTCTGAGGGCTATTCTCTTTAGAAACAGGCTATCTTTACCAGGCATTGTAAAATGTCACAAGGAAATGCAATCTGGCAGAAAAGCAATCACTTAAATGGGTTTCAAGTGAATAGGACAGCTATTGCTCCACCAAAAGTTTGGCAGCATAAATTGCAGGATCCAACAAATGGGTATATAATTTGCCAACTTGGATGTAAGTTTGATGAAAGACAATGAATACAAACCCAGTATTATAGCTTGTATCTAGATGTCTCCTTAAAGGCCCACGCACACATAGGTGGGGCTTTTCAAAGGTGACTGGATCCAGGGTGTGTGAATATGAATTATGGGCAAAACTGGACTAGTTTAGCATAGTTCTGTATGCGGATGAAAAGCCCCACCCTGAGTGTGGGTGGCACCAACAAGCTTATAGCCTTGATGAAATACTATAAAAAGGCAGACTCTCTGCTTGCTGCTTCCTGTCTACCTTGCCATGGACTGTTTCTCCTTCATGATGTCCCCCTGCCTTGGAGCTAGCCTCTACAAACTCTTGACCTAAAATAATTTGTCCTCCTTTAACTTGTGTATATCAGGTATTTTGTCCCAGCAATGAGAAAGTGAGACCCTCACTGTATATTAGAAGTCTGGGAGGAGCAAGCAGTGTTCAAAATCACAAAAGGACAATCAGTGAACTGATGAAAGATGGGATTGAAAAGTATAAGTCAATGAGCTTAAAAAGCATTAGGTGAAAAAAAATGACCAGTTGGAGAGGAAAAGATAGCAACAGTTTTATACAGTATCTTTCTCTTCTTGAATGCATACTAGGTAGGAGGCTGCTGCAGACAGCAAATGTAGACTTCAATGAGGCATTTGGCAATTCACAACATAGACAAAAAAGTGAAATGCAAGCTGGATTGAAGCTTGTTAAGTGACCGGGCCAGAAGAGGCCGGTAAGTGGCTGGGACTACCAGAAGAGGCTGCTAGCCACCTGACTAGCCAGTTCAGGATGCTATCAGTGACTGGATGAGAGTAGCAGCTCACTCATAAATGCTATGGATAACCTGAAGCAGAAAGGCTGCCTAAAATACCTGGAAGGCAAACTGAGCACAGACTAAATCTAACAAGATGAAATTTAACAAGGACTACTAAAGCCCTGTAGTAGGGTTCAGCAAAACAAACAAACAAAAAAAACATAAAATCAGGATAGGAATTATTTGAAAATAAATATTAAAGGTAAGACTTGTAACTGTATTAGCTGTAATCGGTGACATGGTCATGTAGAATGCCAAGTGTCTTAGGTCTATAGACTCCATTAGACCTAGCAAAGAAGCTGACCCTGTATGCCAGCCACATTTCTTAGGATCACATTTTTCTCTGGATACATTTTACAAACAGATACGTGCAGTGGTCTGTGACTAAGCTCATAGGGGGACATAACACTGTCCTGATCCAATATGTAGTAGCCAGAGGTCATCAGCATGAAGGATAAAAGATGTAATATACATTTAAGAAAGCTAATGCTTACACCAAAAAGAAGAGAAACTGACCATATAATATGGGTGTATTCAAAGCAACTTATTTAGCCTTTAGAAGAGGAAACGTTTTAATTAACAAAATGTAAAACATTGATTTAGTGGTTGAGGATCTCAGTTAAACAGCTTGGAACTTATTCTGAATTTTGGGGAGGGACTGTCACTAGTCAAAAATACTAAAATCCAAATGTCTCACATAGTATTCATTGCAATATAATGCCAGAGTTTAGACTATGATACATTTTTTCCTTCTGAGATGTGTTCTTAGAGCTTAAGAATAAAGGCATATTCCTAAACAAATGTTTGACCTTAGAGAAATTTTATCTTACTAATCTACAAAGTATATTTACTTTATAAATTATAATTTGAAGAGTTCCAAGTGTCACAGAAATTGTTTAAGTGAAACTACTTGTTTCTAAATTCACTGTCCCACAAGGGTTTAGAAGAATATGTACTTAACATTTTATGTCTTTCAAGGCACTTTGTGTGTGCACGCAATACTGAAGCTTGAACCCAAGCCTTCTAAACTGAGCTGCATCACCAGCCCTTAAAATTTTTTTTTTAAAAAGATTTGAAACAAGTCTTGCTGAGTCACTAAACTCCCCAGCTGGGCTCAAACTTGCAATCCTTCTACCTCAGCCTCCCAGAGTATGAGGATTACAGGCCACCTCGCTCAGCTCAAGGCATTGTGTTTTTAAGAGTTCAAACTACAGGGGTTGAAGGGAGGGTGGGGCAATGAGGAAAAAATAAGAATCAAGATGGATTATGTAAACGTGCAAATTTCCAAAGATGAATGTCATTACATTGTATTAATTAAATAAAATTAATTAATTTTTTAAAAATTCAAACTAAAATCTGATAGCCTCTTTCAATCAAGGAACTGCAAACTTGGGGGGTTTGACCAATTTGTGATATTTGTGTGCAAGATCCACAGCCAACCGTCCTTGCTGAAAGGGGAAAGACCACAAAATTGAATTCCAGTGATTGCCCATTTTTTTAACTCCATGCAAAAGGTAATTTACTTCTTCTTCAGTAAAGTCTTTACGAGTTCTTCTTTTTTCTGTAATAAGAATTATAGAATACATTATTACTTGCTGAAATAAGAAGTGTTCCTGAGACCCAAATAATTGCTAACTATAAACAACGAAATAAGAAAATTTCTTGCCTGGGATACTGATCATATAAAAAGCTACTTCAATGTAAAACCAACAAACACCTACTGTTAATTTAGGTGCTGCCACAGTGATTTCAATAACTGTTACTTCACCTACTATAAGAATACCCTTAATATCTTTCAACCAAGAAACAGAGTTCATAAATATTTCATTGGTAATATAAAATTCCCGAGGATACCTGTCTTACAGATACAGTCTTCCAAAGGGCTCCATACAATAGAATACCAACACTGGCTACTTCACATATTAGGTTTAATATTTTTAAGAATAAGGATCTTTTGAAAGTTACTTTAAAAATACAATTTCTACTATATAGGTGCTCAGCTTGAAACTTAAAAAAATAGGGAACATAATGAAGAAAATTTGTGTGCGTGCGTGCGTGCATGTATGTGTTAGCTCCTTGGAACAGAATCTAGGGCCTTCACACTGACCTATATCGCCAACCCTTTTTTAATTTCTTAAATTCTGAGATAGGGTCTCACTAAGTTGCTAAATTACCCAGGCAGGCTTGAACTCATGATTCTTCTGCCTCAGCTTTCCACTGGCATTACAGGCATGTGCCATCTTACCCAGCTTGACTCCCTCGTTTTTGAGCAATACTTAATAAAAAGGATACACAGTTGGTAATCAAAGATTTCTGATTACTAGGAAATGCTGTATTTTTTTTCCATTTATTGTTGACTCATAAAATCACTATAGATAGATGCTGAGTAATTTGTATTTTCACTTGAGGCTTCCATTTACTTTAGGACTGGATATAGTTATGCTTGGTCACTCAGAAAATCTTGCCCTTGGAAGCCAGGACTATTAGCTATTGGTTCACCTAATATAAGAGCCACAGTTTAGACCTTTTAAAATAGAAAAGTAAATCTAACCAGAGAAAGCTGAGAAATCAATGTAAATAATATCTTATTACTATTTTTCTTTTGGTACCAGGGACTGAACTCGGGACCTTGCACTTGCAAGGTAGGTGGCAGCACCCCTGAGCTAAAGCCCTGGCCCTCTTATTATAACAGTATTACTCAAATACAGGCTCCATGAGGGAGGGCAGGAACTTGTCTCTAGTTTATTCATCATTGTATTCCCAGTACCTAGAATAGTATCTCAGACATAGGAGGTGATCACTGAATATTTGTGGAGGAAAAAAAGTTACAGTAATACATACCTCAGTTTATAAATGCTTCCTTTCATGAATGATATCATTCATGAACAGAAGTGTTTGGAAAAATTCTACTTCTGCTTGCGAACTTTCAACTCTGCACTGGATGATGGAACACAACTGCAGCCATCTTCCCCAAAATTATGGAACAAATTGTGTTCATGAACTGAGGTACCATTGTATTATTAAATTCCCTCAAAACTTATCAGTGAAATGACCTGATACTTTTGGGGCTATTAGAAAAAGGGTTATCCAAGAAATAGTTTTTAGCCTCACTTGCTAAATGATTTGAACTCAGTATAATGAGGACTAGATAGGTTAAAACTTTTGGGATTTTGAGGGTCTACAGTTGTTCATGTAAAGCTATCTTTTTCCATCATGGTTGCCATCTCCCTGACTTCTGTACTTAATATCTGTGCCCAAATCTTTAAAGGCCTCTACACCAGAGTACTGAGCCACCTGGAAGGAGGAAATGGCTGTGCACTCCAAGGCTCACCTCCTACCTCCTTTAGTGCTATGAATATTGAATGTGTATTAGGAAAAGCAGGTAAAAATGGGCAAGAGGTTTCAATCCCAGAAAGTCTTACTTTCAGATCTTTTCAAGATACCAATCCACCCTGACAGAGCCCTGAGGAAATCTAAATGCCTAGATATTGCAGTGGTCTGGACTCACTTTGAGTGTAAGCTACAATAAATGAATTAATTTTTTTTCTTTTTGAGACAGGGTCTCGCTATGTAGTTCAAGCTGGCCTTAAACTCACTACACAGCCTAGGCTGACCTCAAATTCAGGGCAATCTTCCTGCCTCAGCCTCCTGAGTGCTGGAATTACAGGTACACGCCACCATGCCTGCCTAAGCTACAATATGGGAATGGTAGTAAAATATCCTAAAGTGGAAATTTATAAAGAGAAAAATGGCAAAATACCAACTAAGTCCTTTTTGTGAAGATGTATAAGACCAAGCAAAGCAAATACACAACAACTGAAAATATTCTATACCCATTTACTTAGTAAAACCATCTTCAGAGCCTCATGAAATGGGCATAATATATACACTGATTGTATTTTCTCAGGATGCCTTTGTACATTCTCAAAGAGCAGGCCAAATTAGTAACCATTTGATTTTAGCTAAAGTAAGTCTAACCTACAAATGAAATGTATGGTATTTATAATGATTATTAATAGTATTAGGATCACTCTTATAATCAATACATAACCATAATTATAGTCTTTAACCATAATTATGCCATTTCATGGGTCTCTGAAGATGATTTTGCTATGTAAATGGATATAGAATATTTTTAGTAGCTATATATTTGCTTTGAGGACATGTTGGAAAAAATCTCTAGTTTGATTCCAAGTCTTTCTCAAGAACAAGATTTTAAAGTGCAGCATGTCTCCATGAAAGAAAATTTCTAGTGGTTTCTATAGGAAATAGTACTTCAAAAACTGAACTCCTCCATAATGGTTCTGTATTTACTTTATATGCAGAAATTTTAATACAGAAAAAGACCCAGATATATAAAGTAAATTGGAAATTTCTTTCAAGCTTTTGGCAGTGAAAATAGCCAAATAAGTGTTACATAAGGCAAAATGTTTCCTGGATGTACCAAGTCCATATGTCTCTGTAAGAAATAACACAGTGGTTCTACTGATGTTACTAATCTCTGGGTTACTTGAACACATAAGGTACTCAACAGCTTAATCTTAACCTGCAAGTATTAACTCAATATGAATAGAAGAAAATAATAGTGTTCTACATATCTCTGATAAATCTGAAATGGTAATAAACCTGAAATGTTAACCCTGCAGTGAAACTAAAATTTCCATAAATTCATTTTTAAGAAGCATTTTGAATTTTAAGCAGTATGTTATTAAGGCTCACACTATTTGTCCCATCAAGTTTGACTGTGTGAAATGCTATAGATATGAACAAAAGCCTTCTGCAAAGTCTCTCTGAAGCTCTTGTACATAGAATAATTTTGTTCTTAAAATAGAATTGTGACCCAAAGGATAGAACAGAGCTTCTGGAGAGAGACTCAAACCTGAAACTAAGTTCTCATATTTACCAACTTACTATTATAAGACTTAAAAGTAATATCTACAAAACACCTAATACATAGCAGGTGCTTAATAAATGTTAGTTTTCTCCTGCTCCCTTCCTAACTGGCAGGCACTGGATGAGCAAATACGAAGAAGGGAAGCAGGTGTCTTTATTCTTAGGAGGGATAACCCTTATCAGAACAGTGGGTTATCTTTTAAGAGCCATTAAAATGATACTGGGAGTAAACACTCAGCTATTCTCTTCTTTCTTGGGGATATATGAAATTTAAGTTTATTTAAAAATTAAATATATTCACTTATTCCTCCAGGTATAGTATATTTAATACTGAGTTGTCTTGTACGTGGAGTCAGCAGGATTTCTGAAAAACATGAAAAAGATTTAGCAATTTAGCAATTAGTGTATCAATTAGTATGATACCTACCCCATTCTAATAGGAAACAGTTAAAATGGAAAGAATTTTAAACCACCAGAGACTGAATCTACTTTTTGGGTACATTTTAAATCTGGTTGCTTAGAGACATATTTTCTTTTCACTTCATTTTAACCACTGGTTTTTAATATATTTAATACTGATAGTTCACAAGTATAGGCATAATCATAGTTTTAAAGTTGCTGAATTAATTACTTTTGCTACAGATAAGTGATTTCCTTAGTTCATTTTTATATCTGTCTTCAGCTTCCACAATGACTTTGTGATGATCACATTGGTATGGGCAAGAATGTAAGAGCTTGGTAAAATTTCGGCTATTCAGGGGTTTTCCTACTGCTATGCAACCTATAAGAAAACAAATTAAAATGACATGTAGATTTTATAAAATATCTACTAACAAACCCATGAAAACAAATATCTATATTATAGTAACTGAAGTGAAATCAGGAACTGTAAATATTGTACAAAATCCAAAGTCATGCAAGAGAGTAAAGAGAACAAGTACATTACAATAAAATATGTATTGGAATAGAGGTGTGAACTGACGGCAAAGGTGACACAGAAAAAGGCCATCTAAGCTGGGTGCATTGTGCACAAGTGTAATCTCAGCTGGAGGCTGAGGCAGGAGGATCTTAAGTTCAAAGCCAGCCTGGATAACTTAGTAAGGCCTTGTTTCAAAATTAAAAAATTAGGGGCTGGGGATTTAGCTCAGTTCAAGTGGTGCCGCTGCCTTCTTCGCAAGTGCAAGGTCCCAAGTTTGATCCCTGGTTCCAAAACAAAAACAAAACCAAAAAACAAAATTAAAAAATTAAAAAGCTGGGAATTTAGCTCAGTGGTAGAATGTCCCTGGGTTCAATACCAAAGCATCATACACACACACACAAACAAAAACCGCTGCCTGCCTCACAAGCACAAGGACCCGAATTCAATCCCTGGTGCAAAAAAAGGAGGAGGAAGAGGAGAAAGAAGAAGAAAAGAATAATCTACCTTGGTTCTTAGCTATTAAGGGAGGGCATCCAAGAGCCAATCACCTTTTATCATTTAAGCATTTTTTAACTAGTACACATTTACAATACATAATATTTACACTTATCATGGGAAGTTAGTACATGTATATAACACATCTTAATGCTTTTATATTTGAAGAATTTTTAATAAAAACGGTGAACAATAAGAACACAGGTGAGGGCCAGGGATTTAGCTCAGTGGGTTCTACCACCTGCCTCACAAATGCAAGGACCCAAGTTCGATCCCCGGTACCAAAAAAAAAAAAAAAAAAAA